TGGGATCGTTGTGTTCACTCCCAGGGGAACTACTTCGAGGGTGATGGATGAATTTAATACCTGAGATAAGTGTACGGGTTTTTATATGCGCAGTCTTGAAACTTTCCGATCGCACCTCGTATTTGCATTTCTTTCGAGCTGCTTTGCTTTTCCGTGTCTAAACGTAGTGGCTTTGTCTTATAATCGAAGAATTCGCACGTTGTTATTTAAAGACAGCAAGACCATAACTTCACCACTTCACAGATTTTCATAGTGCTGTAAAATACACGTTGGCTTGGGTCGGCAATATTCTTCAGATGATATTTTGTACCAGCGAGAAATACCGTTTGAGGCAGTGAACGTGGCTGTACACGGTAAGTAAACATCGCGTAATGTTTGATAAATCTAAACATCACGGAGTTATTCATTCTGGCGCGTTATAAAACGGTCGGTAAGCTGTTAAACAGGAGGGCCGCTATGCTGACCGTGGCTCTGGTGTTTATTTTCCAACAGCTGGCAGTTGGGAAAACTTGTCCTATTGTTTGCTGGTGTCCTAGTGCAACGCTACCGATATGCTCAGATGAGCTGATTGGTAATATAGACATGGACCGAGAAAAGTACTCGCAGGGATTGATGGAAATTGGCCTGGATGGACAGACGGTTCGTGAGTTTGATGGTGACAGTTTGTCAAGCTGGAACGTCTCGTCACTGGAATATCTTAATATGTCCAGTTTTAATATCGTGAACATCACGAAAAACTCTCTTATGGGTCTCGTGCACATTTGGTATTTGAACCTGTCAGCAAACAAGATCACAGCAATTCATCCAGACACATTTCAGTACAACAGGGAATTATGGTGGCTGGTGTTGTCCAGAAACGGTATTACCGATATTCATCCGTCAGCTTTCAGAAACCAGAACAAGCTCTATCACTTAGATATACGAGGTGCGATCGGAAAGTTTCAAGACTGTGTCAATAGAGGGTGAACCGGATGTAGTACGAGCTTCTGCCGCTAGGGGGTGCGGCCTACATTCATAGTGAATCAGTGTGCCAGCCGGCATCATCGAATTAGCATTTGTTTCTTAGTTACGGGCGTTTTGGTAGTGCATTACACCGACCCTCCTGCGATTTCGGAATGGCGTGTGCATCAAATTTTGTCAAAGACTCGCCAAAACGGCTACGGGAACCTATGAAATGCTAAAGCCAGCATTTGGGGAGTCCGCAATGGGTCGTGCACCAACTTTTGTGTGGCATTCACGTTTTAAAAATGGCCGAACCTCTGTCGATGATGACGAGCGTTCTGGCCGACCATCTTCGAGCACAACGCCCGAAAATGTTACGAAGATTCGGCAGGCCATTCACGAAGATCGACGTCGTACCATCAACGACTTGTGCGACATTGTTGGGATAGGCTATGGGACCTGTCAGCTGATTCTAAAGGAAGAACTCCACAGGCGACGCATCCTGTCTGAGGACCAGAAGCAGAATCGACTTCTCGTTTTTCAGGAGCTCAAAGATCTTGCCGGATCGGCAAATAAGATCACTTCATTAAAACCAGACATATTCAATTACAACAGTAATCTAATATGGCTCTCACTAGCCAGCAACAACATTTCAGATATCCATCCGCGTACTTTTCAAAATCAGAGAAATCTCGACCAATTAGACATATCAAGAAACGAAATCAGCTCACTAAAACCAGACACATTTAATTACAACAAAGTTCTAATAAGGCTGTCGTCAGCCAATAACATTATTGCTGATATACATCCTTCAACTTTTCAAAATCAGGTAAGCCTCCATCATTTGGACATAAGTGGAAACAAAATAACAACAACAGAACCGGGCACATTTCGTCATAACTCATATCTAAAACGGCTCTCTCTGGGCAATAACAAAATTACACAGATTCATTATTCGACATTTCAAAACCAGACTGAGTTTACTCATTTAGACATAACGGAAAATATGATTTCTTCAATAGAACCTATCACTGGCTGGGAACAAAATATCACACATTAGTAAAACGACATTCTACGTTCTGGAAAAATTAGAACGCCTGGATTTGTCGAGAAACAACATTGCATTCCTCAGCCCTACAGTATTTAAATACTTCTTAGCTGATGACCTCGAACAGAAACCCCATTTGTCGAAGATGAAGTACCTTAACCTGTCTCGAAATGAGATACAATCTTTTGATCTGCAAGAATATTTTCCACTGAGCCGAAACAGTGACACATATGGCACAATTTTTGAACTTGTGTCTTTGGATTTAAGCGAAAATCGTTTGGACTCTCTGAATACGACGTCGGTAAACTGGTTAAAACAGTCCAAAACACTTATTTACCTTAAAGGGAATCCATGGAGATGTGAGTGTTCTGCACTGCAAGGAGCCTGGAAGGAACTCAGAAGGAAACTAACGTTACGCTGCGAGTACCCAAAATTATTAGAAGGACAAACATGGAACGTGATAGGAAACATGTGTTACCATTCATCATTATTTCCAGACCTTGCTGTCGTCGATGGCCAAGATCCTAACACATCAGAACTGACTCCTAGTTCAACTGATTATAAACTCCTCATGAGGAACAATGCCACGGACAAGTCTGAAAGTATCCAGCGTGCAAGTCTTTCAATAACAATAGCGATAATTGTGGTAGGAGTGCTGTTGGTCTGCTTACTTGTTGGCGGAGGTATCGCTGTTGTGCTGCTCGTGAACAAATCGAAGAAGCGTTCGGAACAACCAGAGTACTGGGACGTCTACGTGCCCGGAACGGATGTGTCAGTTCGCACGTATTCACAACCGTACTCAATCAGCAGTTCTGCATTGTGAAGCGGTTATGAAATAACTGTGTAGGTTATTTATCACTTGACATCAGAATATTTGAACCATAGCTTTACTAATATCGTATTCCTGGACCGAGTTCTGCATCATATCAAAAGCACTTGTGCATACAGAAGCCTAAACGTTCTCACCAATGCCGCCAGATGGCAGATCGTTCTATTTTTAAAAGCGCTGATACCGTTTGACAGTTTTTAAAATCACTTTCGATATGGACGACACAAGATAAAGGGAATAAATATACCAAAGGGATAAAGGAAAGTCATTTCACGAAGCATTTAAGTGGGTCTTTTGTGTGGGAGTGGGTGCAAATTGTTCTTTGTGCCTTTCGATGAAGACTGCGATACTGCGCTGTAATGCTACATCGTATGACAGAATGTCATTAAACTAATAGGTGGTCTAGCGGTTAGAACGCTGGCCTTGTAATCCTGGGGTCTCGGGTTCGATTCCCGGCGGTGCCCGCATTTATAACTTGTGTTGGGCAAGGCCGTGGTCTAGGCAACACGGAGTTTTCCTCCGTGGCATCCCAACAATTACTCCATTCACACACAGAAGAAGGCAATGGCAAACCACTTCTGGATCATCTGCCAAGAACGTATATGAACAGGTCCCAGTCCGAGAAAAGGATGGAAGGATCCTGTTCATATGGACCTGTCGTCAGACAGAACACTAAATAAATAAAATTGCTTCGGGACCGCTGGTGCGCGAAATTCTGCCACAGTAATGGCAAAAAGTAAAAGACTTAGTTTTTATATAGTGAAAAGACTACACAATAGAACGAACCACATATCAGGGAACCATCCGACACAAACCCCATACTACGACAGCGTGCTTTACGTTTTGTTTTACCAAAGAAATTTAAATTATACAGGATGAGTCAGAAGTATGCTTACAAACCGTGTGCGTGTTCCAGGATCAAAAATCAGAAAAAATGTTGGACTGATGAGGTATGTAAAGAAATCTCAGTTCCGCCCGACAGCAGCTGTAAGACAAAAGACTGACAGCACGAATTATATTGTTGACATTTCGAGGGTCTCAGGAAATCACGGAACGGTAGCAAAATAAACGGACCTCAGAATTTGGCTAAATTCCAGTTTTCTACGTATTTTAAGAACAGGCTACTCAAACTTGTCGAACTGTGTGATTCTGCGTGAGCGCTCAAGGCAGTAAATAAATTTAATTCCATTAATTTTACACGCCTCAGAAGTGATTATGTTCTATCCATATATCTATCCATATATTGGGAAAGTGTTGGTAGCTTGGTTGATTGGATGGTTAATGTTTCGTGGGTGATCATTTGATATTGAGGGATTCTTGGCCTTGTGGAATAATACTTAAGATGTGCGTGTTAGTATAATCTCAATATATGGTCATATTTGAGGTTTCGCTGCGTTAAATCATATTATATGCTTTAATTCAGCAAAGATATGTAATGATTTTATTTTCTGTTTTACAACATTACTCGATTTTAATTTTTCTCTGTTGCTTTCTAAAAACAGTACACTGAAACAAAAGACTGATCGCTCAAGTATGGTTCACTTTGTACACGCACTTCTGTATGACGTAACAAAACATATGCCCACTTGTTAAATATTTCGAAACTAAGCAAACATAAGTATGATTTTAATTTTTACACGATGCTTTTGTACATGTTGCAATAAAAATGTGTTTTTGAATCAAGACTTCAGATTTTCTTGTCATTTCTGACAGGCAATTTCCTAGTTTCGAGTCTGTAAAGTCGTCCAGCTACACGCCATGGAAGCGGCTAGGGTGGAGAAGGATTAGCTTAAGTCGTTCTGGACCTCGGCGCTAGATGGAACGCACCCCCAATAACCAATGGGTAAGTGGCCTTGGGGGCCCCAGACCCGGTTTGGACTCAGAGGCCGTTGCGGTCGATCTTCAAGTCCGTATAAAGTCTGCCTGTCGTGTGAAGAAACATTATAGATGCACATTTAAATCCTTTGTCTCCCAAACGGAAGTGAAAACATGCATGCTGTTTGAGGTTCTAGGTAGAGTGGTATAACAGGTTACACATGGGGGTTAAGTGGTCATCTGACCTTCACCCTCCTCAACGCGTCACCAGTGAAAGAGAATTCGGATGTGGAGAGAAAGGCGCTAGACAAGTGAAACTCTGGTCAGTCGAAACACAGACATGACTACGATCAAGGTGTTGCTTCTTCTGCTGCTGTTTGCCGGTCGCCGCGTCATCTCGGCCGGGGAGGAAGGCGTCTCGAAGCACGGACCGCGGTTCGACGATCTGGCTGATGCGTTTGACCTCAACAGACTGACCGACGGCTGGGGGCGAGCTGTGACGGTTGGATGCCGTGACGACGTCACAAACTTCCTGGCGGCCCTGGGCAACGGCTCTTTGTGGGCAAACAAGAGTGAGTACTGCAGCGCCCCGGCCAAACCGTGAATCGAGAAATGTGGCCGATGCCTCGGGGTAGTGGTTAGCACTCTTTCGTATGCAGAAAGTTTCGGCTTTGAATCTCGATCCAGAGATTATTTTATTTTCCTCATTTAATCAAGACGAAAGTTGTGATATTGACTTAAAACAGGCCGCAACAGAGTCGTTACACTTTCTTCACATTTTATTATTCATAATCATAACACAATCTCATTCGACGCTGAATGACCTGTGCAGTTGATAAAGTGTTTTATATAGGTTTAAACACACAAAGATAAACGAAAACTTCTTGGCGAGATGACGATTAGTTTGTCCGTTATTAAACGGTGAATTTGAAAAACACGTAAATTTTGAGCGTTTGATACGAAGATAACTCTGTACAATGAACAATTTCGGGGCAGAAGACTGGCTCAAGACGTCAATAAGGGACGGTCTTACAGGTTTGGTTTGACGTTCTCACAGCGGCGACTGTGAATACGGCTGTCTTCTGGGTTGTGGTCTGGCACAAGTTCAACGTTTCTGAAGTTCCTGCTGTCTCAATCTTCACGGCGACGACTCCTGATAGTGGAAGTAGCACCTTTGAAACACTTCCACCAGACTTTACGGTGATATAATCTAGAAGACCGTCACCTTCAGTGTTCTGGGTTACCTATAATGTTCGGACGATTAAAATAAGAAATAAGTTGGATGGGGCATGCAGTACGCATGGGTGGGACAAGAAATTCATGAGCCTGTCTGGCTGGCAAACTCCAAATTTAAGAAATGAACTTAAATAAACACACAAGGGCGCCTGCTGAAATTCTGTATATAGAAATTACTATTGAAGACACGTAGTGGACAGAACTGGTTCAAGATAGGGTTCAGACGCTGGCTTCCGTGATAACGGCACTGAACTTTCGGGAATTTCTTCATTGGCTAGAAAATTATTAAGTGCTCATTAAAGTCCCTGTCCTGTACAATGCATCTGGTTCAGTCAGTGTTCCCTACGTAATGTAACCTTTATTTAACAAACCCGTATCAACTGCAACCATTAATTCACCAACTGCTGACTTGCGCTTGGCTGCTGTAGGGTTACGACATTCATCCTTCGTAAGGTCGGCCTTCGATCGCTTGTCTCCGTGGCGCGGCTAGGGGGAATCCTCGCATTCCACAGACGCGTCAAGAAAGGGAATTGAAACGAGAAAGTGAGCGCGCGTGAACAGCAAGCAAACAACTCCATATATGATGACAGGATGTTGGGTAGGCCACCGCACGAGGGGCTGCAGATGTCAACACTTCTGCTTTGTAGGCAGGAGGTCCCCACTTAGAATCCAAGCGGCAAATCTAAGGCAAACACACTGAAGTATTCCGCGACTTTACTTCACCAAATTTTTATATGAAATAGTGTAGTTAAAAAAAAGAAATCCAACTTAAAGAAGGTAACGACCACTATCACAGAGGTATAATTGTCATGTCATTTCTAATTCGATAGTTGCAACTTTTATAGCTGTAGCTCATTGAAGATGGTAGTCTTCTGGGTTATTGCGCCGTGTAGTCTGGTACAAGTTTACCAACGTTTCAGAAGCCCCTTCCTGCCTCCATCATCAGGGCGATGAGTCAAATCCTACTTGATAGATAATTGTTAACCAATCAGACCCATGAAGAATTAGGAACAAAGGTATTTCAAAAGCGAATCTATTTCACATTGCAGAACTGTTACAAAGCTTGCAAACTGAGAAAAGATGCAAGACAGCGCAGGTGAGTCATTATGAAAATCCGGGTTTGTGAGGATGGGCTACTGATGCACGAGGAAGCTCGGCTAAGTGGGGTAGTAAATTATAAGAATAAATGAGAGTACTAGGATCCGAAACCTTACATTTCCATGAAAACATCAGTTTTCTTGCTATTACGATACACGGCCTCTTTCTTTGTTTGAGAAAGTAAAATCTAACTAAAGATCATTTTATCCGAAATACATCGCTGAATTTTCTTCACGTTGGGCAGTAGTTTGCCTACGCCTGTGCTAAGGGATGCTTTTGACTATAGAGGTACCGGTATTATATAAAAAAAGGGTCGATGGAAGATTGTGATCACTTTGCTCGCTTCCAGTCGGATCGGATTTACGGAAGTTATAATTTATTCGAAGAGTGCAAATTGTAGTTTGAGGCGGGAAGGCGAACACGTTTCCTCCTTTCATTTCTGTTTGCTAAACTTCCCAGCAGGCACTCAATTCAATCTGAATGGGCGCGTGAACGATGAACGTCTGCATTGCACAATCTTCCTCATATTCGTTGAGAGGGTGACGAAAAGGCTTCAAACACTTCTAAGGACCTGAGGCCTATAATACCTTGTTCAGAGTATACGTAATCTTGTACGATGTGGAACTTCGTCCCTCACTCTGAGTGTAGAACAGAGATTAAGCGTGGCTGAGAATGAAGTGCAGAGGAAAATGTATGGACTAAAGACAGACGACGAAGCAAATTACTGGAAAATATTTCTTAGATAATAAGGAGCTTAAAATTTTTACTCAACACGTCATCGCGGTGATGAAATAAATAGGTACTACATGTAAAACGCATGGGGGAAATGAGAAATGCGTACAGACTTTTGGTTTAAAAAACGACGACGAAAGATACAACTTGAGAGACCTAACAGTAAACGGGAGGATGATATTAAAATCGGTCTTAGGGAAATGGGGTCCAAAATGGAACGGATTCAAATTACTTGTGAGTGTAGGTTCGTGGATACACTTCTGTGAATAGTTAATAATGGCAACATTCCGGAATTACAGTGAGTCCACTGTTCTTATGAATTTAACCAGAGGCATGTTTGTCAAGTAATTGGGAATTGACGTTTATGAAGATGGCTTTCATCTTAGAATCCGCAAGCTTTGAAAGAAAGAAGAAATTTAAGTAAGTAAAAAAGAAAGTACAAAACGGTGAAAGAGAGGAAGAGGAAACAAGACAAAAGAAACCCCCACCGGCGGTACTGTCAGTCCCTGAAGAGGATCTGCAGACCGTCACAAGACAAATATGATTGGCTGACGCAATCCCGAACACCATAAATCACGGCAACAGGAAATCTGCTTCACCAACAGTCATCACTTTCGTTAAAAATTTTCCCACTCTTCGTGTGTGAAAGAGAAATTTCTCTCCTTTGTGTTTTATATAATAGGAAGTCGATAATACAGTTCCAGGTCACCTGGAAGCACGAGGCAAATGAGACGATTTGTATGTGTCGGTTGTCAAGGAAACTGCGCAAAGGCCCGTGTGTTGAGACTTTTAACGCATAACAGCGACTGGTATTGAACTCAATAATCATCTCGCATCTTATTGTGTAATCACGCGATGCTTCTTGCAAGAGCGACGTATGTAGGACAAGAGTCAGTAAATACGAGTTTATCCTTTGAAGCCGAACGAATCAGAGGGAAGAGAAAGGAGAGGAAGAACAGTGGCAGAGATTACAATTCACAGAAGAAAGAGAAATTTTCGGTTATCAAGGTTTCCAAGCAGTGCCCACTCGTCTAAATAATATTTAAGAGTTCGCCCCGTACGTTTTTTAAAAAGAAAAACAGCTTTACCCTTACAATGAAAAGTAATCAAACGTGTAAGATTTGAGGTTTTCACAGCGGTGAGTATGAAGATTTCTGTCTTCTGGGTTGTTGCGCTGTGTAGTCTGGTCGATGTTTACCAACGTTTCTGAGGTCATACTGCCTCCGTCATCAGGGCGAACCCAGAAGACAGAAATCTTCGTGATCAAACTTGTTTACGGAAGTAATCCCTGTTTACATTTCGAAACTTACGAAACCCGTAAATACAAAACACAGAATTGATGACTAAAGCAGCTGGTACATGTTACCACTGGGCTTCGAAGGGTTAAACACGCGGACGAAAAGACGCGCCTCCCAACTTAAGTGTTACGTTCGTGTACACAAAAATGATAATTCTTGCTTCGTATTAATGCTTCAAGATCCCAGACACCGAAAGCAGTGAATGAACGTTTCCAGCTATGGGCCGGTTTTACGTACCTCAGTACTTTCTCTTGCTGCATCCCGCTGCAAACTGTTTGGCTTTTGTATCGATATCGGGCGTGGAGGTGGGAGCGGGGAGAACCCTTTCCATAAACGAGTACTTTCGCTCGCTCGTAGTTCTAAGGTTTGTGGCTGGTGTCAACGAGTAAAAGTGACGTCAAAAGAGGTAAGTCCGGAATGGTGTCAGGCGGTGGAGTGTGTTGCAGGCAAACAGTTTTACTGCTTAACGGCTAGGTTTATAAGGAGCTCCGTGTTTGCGAGAACTCGGGTCCCAATCTCGACTGAGAATCCGGTTATCCTGATTGATATGTTTCATGGTTATCCTTGGCCCCTCCAAACAAACGTAAGGATAGTATCTTCAATTAGGCCATGACCGCTTCCTTACACATCCTTGCCATTTCTTTAATCACCCTGTCATTCGACAACGTAATTATAGAACGGCACGCGTGTCTCATCCGTTCCTACGAATTCCACATAATATGTGCAGTTGATAAATTGCCAGTGGTCATACTTTGTACATTCTTGTCCGGCCCGGACCCTGAACTTGATCGCCGTTACTGCTGACCTCACCGAAACAGCTTTCTAGAAAGTTGATGAAGAACACGCGGCCGATCCGACGACGATCCACGTGTTGTTTCCCAACGTCTGAGACAATTTTTTATTCCTCTCCATACAAAGTACACTGAGGCGTGTCAGTAGCCATTATGAACGGATAGGGGCTGGGACATCCACTCACAAAAGTTGTGTTAAGAACAAGCAGCTTTTCCTGTTCTTAAACCATTACACTTATATAAAGCTCAGTAAAATACATGGACCGAACAATAACTTACACAAATCGCTAAGCATCGTGGAAGAATGGTTAACACTCTCACTTTGGATTCGGGAGGTTTTGTGTTCAAATCTCGTCCCTGACTGCAATAGTTCTTCGTTTCTATTAATTCTTACGAACAATATTCATACAGTATATTAAAATAGGTCTCGTCCGCTTTTTTCCAAATCCTTACACTTCATCACTCAGAAGAACCTACTAGGTTTACATCATTCGCAGCTGAAAAAACATCCTTAAAAGTCAAACGATCATTTGCTAATTATATGAATCATTGACTGAAGACTTACTTGACTCATATGAACTTAGGCCAGTAATGTACAAAGCAACAACGAACGAAATCGACAGATTGGCTGCTGACCATGCAGGCGATAAGACGTGATATCGCCTGTCGTTTCTTGCTTCGGTGAGAGGTCTTTTTAAAGTTGGAACCACGTGCCAGAACGTTGCCCTGCAAAAATCTTCCCCCTGTGTCATGAAATTCACTGCAGACAACTCTTACGAAGTTTATGAGCATGTTTTTCGTAATACGATGAACTAGGCGCATCGCATCATCGTTTGCAGGGTTACGACTTTCTGCTTTGAATATATAATTAAGTTGAGGTAAGGGAGAAAGTAGAAGCGAATAATACATTTAACTTTCCCAACAAAGGTCAACGTTACTGTGAGCATTCTGTGACGCTTATTCTATCAATTTACACTTTTGACACCGGGATCTTGTTGTTTATTCTCATTCACTTTCTCTTCTACTTATTCTTTGTCTATAGCCTCCTTTTTCGTTTTCCTCATGCCTGCGCTTCCCCGTCTTCCTTCGCACTCTTCATCCTCCTTTTATGTAACTTTTCCTCATACTTAAGTGTTGTTCCTTGTCATTCTACGCTTTATTTTATAATTTACCTCCTAAATTTCTAACAGTTTTTTCCTCATCCTCTGACAATTTCTCCATTAGAAATCTCCACGAAACGCGCGGACATTATTACCCGATTGCCAGTCCCAGTAAGTGGGAGATTCTGTCAGATTACGGAAGCAGTAGTTCTCTTGATGTGTTTAGTCTGTCCTTCCGAATGACAGGACAAGTCCCCCGTAGCTTCAATGTCTGAATTCTCTGCTCAGTGCTGGACGCCAGTGGTCGCTACTCCTCACAGTTCTTATGGGGAAACTCCTACTGGTTGGGATCCTACACACTATGCCAGCAGCTCCACATCAACTCCGCCTCACCAATCCCGGGGGCCTACTCTGTGGTCAGCCTCAGGGTCAATGTCACCGGTCTCGTGACACCACAGGTAAGAACACAATTATCTATATAGGAAGAAGAGTCTACAACCAATCAAACAAAAGTCCTCTGGGAACTTCCGGAGCACGTAACGGAAAAGAGTTGAAGAGTTCTGCAACATTATGCTGCTTTATGCCTGTGCATTCTATACCAAGTCGTTTCCTTTCAGGTCCGGGATGTGTCACTCGGAGTCTGTTTGCCGGCGACCTGCAACCGAGCCGATGTTCTTCAACTGCTCCACCAGTCGACGTCTCCCATAACCGCTGTACTTGGAGCTCGTATCGTACCCGACCCTGACTTTGCAGTCTGGAGAGAACCGGGATTTTATCTCCTGGGGTGAGCACATCGCAGTAACGACATTGCTGCAATTTTTCTGCTGGTTTTGTAGGGGCGGTTTGAACTGAAGGACAGTCTGTCTGTCGTACATACTGCCGGGACATTGGAGAACAGCAGAAAAGCCCCATCTCCGAAACGTCGTTCTATTTTATTATTTTACTAGACGATGGAAACTATCCGAAGAACTTTTTATTTATTTAATTTCTGTTGTTGTAATTCTTCAGTTACGCGTGCGCTAGTCCCTAATTTAACATTCGTCACCAAGTGGTACTTGGTCATAGCGAAAGGTACTGCCAAATAATGACGAGTTTTCTGAAACCGTGACATAATATTAATAAAATGTATGCGGGCCGCATAAAATACATTGGAGGGCCAAATGCGATTCGTGGGTAGCAGGTTGAGAACCTTTGGCTTCACCGTTTAACCTTGACAAGCCTATTTAAGGCATAGCACTTAATGGGCTGTACCCGATGAAAATTACAGTCCAGCGCGTTGCATTCAGTACATGGCCACATGTCACAGCCAGCAAATGTCAGTCGTTAAAAGGCAATTAGCAATAAAAACGCCGAAAATAAGTAAGTACTGTTTTATTATCGGTTCGACAGTTAAGTGCACGCAATTAGACTGTCAGATCTTAAATGAGGCATAAAACACATTCACACTTGAGTGCAAGACTGGCATAACAGTTGGCTCCGCTGTAGCAGACATCGGCGAGAAATATGAAACTTCCTAAATTTAATTTATTTGAACGACTTATAGATTAGGTCTGTAGTCAGCCATAATTTCACAGCACTAGATGATTCTGATTTTTCGTTACAGTGTGGTGATCGGCTTGGTGACTGTGCTGGTTGTGATAGGGACGGGGTACGACTTAATTCTGCAACATCGTGCCAAGCTGCGACACACAGAGTTATCAGGCAAGTCCCAATCAAGTACGAGCCCTCAGCCAACTGGATAAACTTTATATATTGTACAACATACTCAGAATATTTGGACATGAAGAAAGGTGAAGTAACGAGGAACGCCAGATTTATACATTTGCCTCTCACCTGATATAAAATGGAGGGACGGGGTGAAATAAAGGACAAGGCATGAGAACTTGAATCGTCTTGATGGAATTCCTACATTTTGAGCAACACCAAAGTGCAGGCCTGTTTCAGTATTTTGAACACCGTGTATTTTGTGACAGGGGCCACGGAGTGCAACGGGAATCACCTCAGCTACACCGCCACAGGTCCCCTAGAGTCACAGGGCGTGCGCAAACCAGAGTTCCAGGGCAGAAATCCAGGTAACTCGTCATAAAATACCGCAATTTTATTTCCACCTCAAAAATTGCCCATTTCTCGCACCCTTTTTATTGGCAGCTATCTCACGGATGCATATTTTTCCCTACGGTCCGCCATATTTAGCGAAAATCTCATGTTGCCCAGAATTAGCAATTAGACTTGACATTCATAATTCGTTCTGTTGTGCCTCGTTGGTTCAGAAAACACTTTGTTGTAGTCCAGCCGTTTCAGACCTCGCTTTACCGCAGCTCATTTCGTTCAGAACTGCTTTATTGAAGAGCGGATGGTACAGATGTTGCTTTAATGTAACCCGATGGGCCAGAAGTCTAGCTGGTTCAGACCTCGCCCTCATCGTCATCAGGCGGTTAGAACGCTGGCCTTGTAATCCTGGGGTCTCGGGTTCGATTCCCGGCGGTGCCCGAATTTATAACTTGTGTTGGGCAAGGCCGTGGTCTAGGCAACACGGAGTTTTCCTCCGGGGGCTTCCCCGGTTTCTCCGTGGCATCCCAACAATTACTCCATTCACACACAGACGAAGGCAATGGCAAACCACTTCTGGATCATCTGCCAAGAACGTATATGAACAGGTCCCAGTCCGAGAAAAGGATGGAAGGATCCTGTTCATATGGACCTGTCGTCAGACAGAACACTAAATAATAATAATAATAATGAAAGTTCAGTCATCACTTTCTTGTGTCATGATTATTAGATAAGCGCATTACTGCCAGTCCAATCGTTTAGGTATACTTTCTTGAAGTCCCGACTTGTCAAAAGCTGCTTTCAAATACATCAGGCGTTTCAGATGTTGCTTCGTTGTGTCCCGACACATCGTTAGTCGCTTTCAATTCCGACCGTTCAAGAGTGTTCTGGCGTGTTGCAGACCTGGGATCACAGGTGCTCCTCTGTTTCTCTGCGTGGACGAACCTACAGAAGATCTGCAACACCCAAAAGGAGGACTCACTAGCCTGTATCCACGGGCTACGGGTCTTCAGCTTGCTGTGGGTCATAGCCGGACACACCTGCATGTTCTCCTTCCCTGTCTCGGGTGAGTTGCTGTGATGCATCAACTGCCATTGTTTGTTTTCATAATATTGCAGACAATGAAAAAAGAGCACAATGGTGTAAGTTTATAAGAAAATTGGATGCAGGCTGAAACACCAACTGTGATATCCAAAAAAGAAATTAACCAAGTTGTAAGCACACATTTTTACTAGGACAGTTGAAGAAATTACATCAGAATATCTGCCAGCACGTTTGGTATGTTCACTGTCTTTCAAGAAACACCAGACAGTCTGTTGTAAGTTTGACAGAGACAGATATTATGCAAGATGTACTGGTACGTAGTACATATAACCAGATCAATACACAAATTAATAGTCACCATCACAAAGACCACATAATTTTCATAAACCTTTGTTCTGCACGAAAAGGTCATCATCATTAGCTGTACAGTCCGATGAGGGCCTCGGCTTCCCAACTAAAGGTCATTATAAGTGCTAGTTATGCACAATGAAAGAAACCTTATAATGATGCACCAACTGGTTGAGTTCATCTTTGTCAGCCAGTCATAAACATGAAGAATTGCCTGTTATTATAACTGAGTCAGATTTCTAGTTTCTTCTTAAAGAGCTTATATAATTTACAGGAATTGAAGCAAGATCAGCAGCCCTGATTAAGTTATAATAATACTTATGATCATGTCGTAGATAACAAGGCATTCCGGCAGCTGGTGGAAAACGATTTCCTGTTCCAGTCAATCAGCAATGGTGCATTTTCTGTGGACACTTTCTTCTTTATCAGGTACACATCAGCTACCAGTAACTAGATAATGTAATCAACTATAACACCAACATTTATCGTTGTATTATATTAAGCATTTAGTATTTCTCATGTGGCAGTCATGGTAACAAATCAATATTATATAGGTCTATGTGATCATTTCAGATTTCCAGTTTTCTCTGCTTTGCTGTATATGGTCTTGTTACTAGGTGACCATTAATTGGTTCCTTCACAGTGCAAAAGTGATCTGTGCCTATTGTTGTTTCATAGTTTGCAACTGTTTAATATATCAAGCACCCTTGAGGCGGTGACTAATGACAGAACACTGGCCAGTGGGAATAAGTATACATAACACTTGTATTGAATACTATAATTTATGACATTGTTCCAGTACAGTTTATTAATGGCAGTCGAAATGCAGGTTTTTGTAGAGTTCTGTCGACAGTACCTGCTTCAGTAGTCTAGCATGCCAAAATGTGTTTTCTGTGGGTTATGTGATAAGGACTATGAGTTTTTTCTTTTTTACAGTGGTGTTATGGTGGCGTACCTGTTCTTCAAAAATTTGACCAAGGTGGTGAATACGGCTGAGGATGGCATTGGTGTCATAATGAAGGTCAGCGCTATACGCTTCATTGGCGTGTTCTCCTATCGTTATCTCAGGTCAGATTATATATACACGCACGCACACATAATTTAGACATTTGTTTCCCACAATCAGAGTTTATACAGCATTATCACTCCTTTTGAATTTCACTTGCCACTGGGGTCGTACATTGTATGGTTTCAAAGTATTAAATCTGATGGTTTTATAAAGTTACATTTTTAGTGTAACTTACCATTAATGACATTTACGATCCAAAAAAATTCATTTGCTAAGACCAGCAGTTTATGAAATAAGTGTTTTGAGGTCTATACTACACAATCTTTTAAAATTATGCTAACTCTTGGTCATGGTAGATGGAAGTCTGGCTTGTTCCCTACATTTTTACATGTCTAAGGGCATGAAGAGGGTGTATTCTGGGATGTTGCACCATGTAACATGGTAGAAATTAACCCAAAGTTTCAGAGGTGCTTCTTGCCTCTGTCACCACAGTGGGGTCACTCTCAGTCAATTTTTGTTAGATTACATGGTGCAACATCTAGATGACAGCCATTTTCATATTTGTCACCAGGAGAACCTGAAGTATCACAAAGTCCGTGAGTATTCTGCTATACCTTGCACTTGTTAAGCAGATTTCACAGTAAGGAGGATGAGAGTACTGACAAAAATTGTCCATGATTATATAAGGAGGATATATGAGTTCCCCAACAGCAAAACATGCAGACATACAATATAATCCCTTCTTAAAGGCTGACACCACCCTACCTGTTCATATTGGCCATCACCCAGCTCAACGCTCAGTGGTTTTATCACAACTCGGTTTTCCACAATCCCATTATGGTCCGCGATCAGGCTACTTGTGCAGAGTACTGGTGGAGGAATGTTCTATATATCAACACTCTGTTTCCAGTCAAAGACATGGTAAGTGATTTAAAAACTTCATCAGGCAAAGTATAGTTTTGATCGAAATTAATACGTAACTTTTATGCTAATAATTATTTTTCCACAATGGAACTTTATGGAAAGTATATATTAAGAAATGTGATACCACAGTTTATACTCTTTATTTTATCATATTTCAGTGCATGATCTGGAGCTGGTACCTGGCAAATGATACTCAGTTCTACACACTTGGTATTATACTTCTCCTCCTATCTTCCAAGTAAGTTGCATTGTTAAACACCAATAAGCGCTCAAAAACTTCTTTTGTCAGAATCATTATTGTCAACAAATATTCAGTTGTATATATGGTGTGTGTGACAAAAAAGTCTGAAGAATACCAAATCAAGAACTAGGACACATTTCAAAATGAACACTTGTAGGGATGCATATGAATTGCATCAACAGAAATTAAACCTGATACTGAAAGATTACTTAAGCAGAAGCAGTGTCAAACAAGTCACTAATGATTAATTTTGTTAAATAAATTATTGAGCAATAGTAAGTTAGTTGGATTTTTAATAAATTGTCACAAAGTTTCAATAAATTGTCCTTTATAATATTGTGGCCCATGAATCGATAAGAAATGGTGAATGTGGCCCTAGAACTGGAAAAATCTGAGAACCCTGATGTAAAATAATTAAATGGTAAAGGTGATTTGACCAGGTTCTCTTCAGATGCAACTATCAATTCATCTGAATTCTGTCCTTAAAAAATTAGTATATATATTCTTTAGATTTAGAATTACATTAAATTATTTTCTTTCCAAAATCTTAACTGGGAAATAAAAGTGATTTCTAATTCACAGATGGTTCAAGCTGGCAGTGATGTCACTCTTTACATTCCTGGTCAGTTCATGGTTCACAACGGCCTTGATTATACTCAACAGCCACCACATGCCAAGGTGAGCACCGAGTAGGACGTTAAATGCACGCTTCACCGTAGTGGCAACAACAGTTATTCAGTGTACCACTCATCTGGTTGTGTGGCTATCTCCCTTCCTTCTTTATTTCTAGCTTAGGATAGCAAACCTCATGTCCGTCTGTAACTTTGCCCCTATCTGTAACCCATTTCCGCATGAACTAATAAAAATGCAGTTTAAATCAGCAATTTAATCGAACTTTGGGATTTGAACAATTCTTGGCTCTACTGAAGGAGCCAACATGATGGTGGATAAATGTCAGCTCATTGCATCAGAAGAGACATGGCTGTAAAGTTGTGATGCCTTTCATTTGAAATATACTGCCCTAAACTAACTTCATGTACAACAGTGCGTGCTTGTGACTTGGCAACACCAAATACAAGCATGCCAATACTATCTGAAACAGTGGATGTTCCAAAGCCAACAGAATATGTGAATGGGTTAAAATACAAAACATCATGTTCCTTCCCTGCTTGTCATTCACACTCTAATATCCAGACATAACCATGAAAATAATTTCTGACATATTTATTCTGGGATCTGATGTGGTGTTCCAAACTTCCTTAACATGAATATCCTACAACAGGCCACACCTGCTTCCTCTCCAATCTGAGTAATATCTAAGCTACTAAGCTATATACCCTAAAATTTGCCTCCAAGATTTATGACATGTTTCAGCATTGAGGAGCCTCTGGGTCTGTTTGATGAGCTATATGACAAGCCGTGGACCCGACTGGGGCCCTATGTGGTTGGGATGTGTGTGGGATGGTTCCTGTGTAGGACCAACTGCACCATCAAGATGCACAAGGTGAGACAAGAGTAGTGGTACCCTCGTGCAGACGTGTACAGCACCAGTAAATCATCCAAAATCACACCTAACTTTATTTATGCTTTCAAACGAAAACAAGAGAGGAAAAAGAATATAAACTGCACAAGAGAGAGAAGTTTCAGTTCATTACACTGGAAGTAATTCTAATAAACAACATAAAATGAATAAAGAAGAGACAACTACCAGCACAAATGTAGTGGATATAAAGATTATGAACTAAATTGAAAATGATAAGCAGACAGAACACTGTAGAACCGATGAATCTAAAACTCACTGCAGAGGTCAGAGCAGTGATTTCATTATTACAGCCTGGGGAATCTCTCCCCCATCCTCTCCAGTAAGAAAGTGGTAGCGCTAGAGTCAGCTGAGTTGCCAGGTTGTTCACATACAGAATTTTACAATGGTTTTACTGTAATGTAAAAGTAAAAGTAACAGTAAATCTGTCCTGCTGTATGCCATGTAGGCACTTGGGGGGGAGAGGAGTACAGCTCCTCCTCATTCCTAAACTCAGCACTAGGTGGGGGTGAGTGTTCAGCGTCATGCCCCGCCCGTGCTTTACCCCCATGGAAAGGAACCCGGTACTCATTGGATAAGAGACTGGGTGGGTCTAAAAGCTAGTCTGGATGTAGAGGCTACAGGAAAAATCCTCTGCCCCTGTCAGAGATCGAATGCCGGTCGTCCAGTCCGTAATCAGTCACTATACTGACTCAGTTACTCTTACTATGCACTACAAAATCATCTGCTTACTGATATATAGTGTTGTTTCTTTTCCCACTATGGAAAGCTCTGCTTAGTATGTTAATACATCATCTTATATACCAGACACTCAATCACATTAATTTTGTCAGTGGTGTGACTGAAAATTGATGGCCAGCAGAAGACAAATTTTTACCAAATGTAGTGGTGAAAGTGGAATCTCCACTCATGGTTCACAAAATTTCTAGAGTTTTAGATAAATTGGCTGCACTATAGCCTACAAGAAGACTGGATCCCTAAAATGATGCTAAGTTTCTGCTTCCAGGGAACAATATGGGAACACCTATTAGCAAATGGAAAGTCTGCATGCTGTGTGTTGTAGGCTGTGGTGCTGATGGGCTGGGCACTCTCTATTGGCATGACGTTCATCCTTGTGCACGGTCTGTATGGTGACCTGGGGCCCGTTATGTCTGCTGCATATGTTGCTCTCAGCCATACAGCCTGGGCCATTGCTGTGGCCTGGATAGTCGTCGCATGCTCCACAGGCAATGGAGGTCAGTATTTGACATGGTACAGTAATTTGCCACTGATTTGTCTGTAAGATGGCAACACTAACAGTGACATTATTGAGGATCATTGTAGTTGATTCTGAAGTTCAAAATTCTTAAAATACCAAATAAATCAAATAGGGGTAAAGTGTGACTGTGCATGATCTACTTATGCCGACTAAAAGTGTCCAATGAACACATTTTGTGAAAAAGGTGATGAACATGATGGTTGCATAACAACTATAAATTTCTTGAGAAGCTGAATATATATGAAGTTTATAAGGAAGGCCATTAGAAATATGATAAACTTATTGTTAACTTAATTCTTCTATCTGGAAATAAGACCCCCAGACACTGTCATGAAGCAGAAGTGGAGTTAAATAATTCAAAATGCAGTCTGAACCTCATATTTCAAGTAGTTATCAATATTGGACTCTTTAAAGTGCAGATACCAGTCAATGTGTGTGTCTACAGGCTATGTGAACAAGCTACTGTCGAGCAAGTTCCTCTACCCACTCAGTAGAATCTCCTACTGTGCTTACTTGGTACATCCCCTCATCATGATCTCAGTCATTATGCACATGGATAGCCCAGTGCACCTCGGAAGGGCCACCATGGTATGTATTTCCAGCAAACTTACAGTTGGGGTGACACATTTCAGAGTCCTAAAGGACTAGAGTACCATCAATACGTTGAGTGATTTGTTTGTGGTTTATTTAATGATGCTGTCAGTATCTTACTCTATACAGCGCTGAATGATATATTAATTAAATATTTATGGACTAGAAGGGATATGGAAGGAACTAGTCATAGGTATGAATTAAGGTACTATCCTAACACCTGACTGGAGGAACTGAGGAAAATCATGAATACCTCATTCAAGATATCTAGTTTTCAGGCCAGTATTTGAAACCTTGATCTCCAGAACACAAAGGGGTGTTAACCACTCAGCTGCTTTGACTGATCTGTACGATGATGTAAGAAAATACTGTCCACAGCCAAATTGTATAAGGTATAGGACTGACTGATTTAAAGACACAGTTTGAGAGTTTATGCACTGAAGAGACAGAGAATTTTTATTTAGTTTGTGACCACACAGACGAAACTATAGATGCCACCTTTTCTAAGTATCAGTAACTATAAACTTCACTCCATTTGGTTCTCGGAATAAAGAGGGATGTTTTTCTGCAGTTAGTCAACTGCTCAGAGGCACAATGTGTTTCCTGGCAAGCACAAATCCAATTTTTAAGATTTGATTGCATCCACATGGAGCATCTATTAGAACCACTGCATCCAGCCAATTGTACACCCACAAGTTGAAAATGGCTGAACAGATTTTAATTAGATTTGACAATGGGGAGTTTGAGCTTTTTTAATTTTCATTGAAACTTGCCAACAATATCAGGCACTTTTTATGAAGAACTACACACATTTCTGTGGTCTGAATTGAGTAGTTGGGGAGAGTCTTAAACTGCAGAATTCTCCAGCCATTTAGACAGGTCAGTTTCTGGTGATATATCCAAAATGTTACACTTTGCTTCCTATTTATTAAATACTCTTCGAAGAATTTGTGCTGCTTATAAAATTATGAAACGCAAATACTGATCGTCTTCCTGTTCCAGATTGTTGTGATATTTGGCTATTTCATGATGGCCTACATGCTCTCTCTAGTGGTGTCTTTGGGATTCGAAGCACCAACCATTGCTCTGCTTAACATTCTGCACCCCATAAAACGGAAGATGAAGTGAAATATCCAACAACCCAAAAGGAGCACCAGGATAATAATAAGTGGTACATCTCCAAGTAAAGACATATATGTATAGAGTGCTCAGGGTGTGAGACACTGCCTTCTACAGGTGACCATCAGAGGACTGGGAAATTCATAACGCATTTCCATACACTCAATATGGTATTTATCAGCATTAGGTGACTGAATTGTCTTCTGAGCTGGTTAAGACATTTACTTATATGTTACATCCATTCTAGTTCACCTGGTTTTATACTACAAAAAAAGCAGTGGTTGTTAAACTTCTTTTGTACTGTGGACCACCTGCATGGAAGTTACAGATTCCATTGATCATGCTTTGACAAATGTATACTACGATATTCACAGGACTGTGACATGGGGAGAATCATTCCGACAGTTCAGGCAGAACAGGCAGCCATTCAAATGCCAGCACAAGGTGGTTAATTTAAGTTGACTTTTAGTTCAATTATTACACTGGCACTGAGGAACTGAGAGGGCTGAAGGAAGAAAATTCCCATTTTCTTGCACTTTTTAAATGGATTTTAGGGAAAATCTCTATAAGCATTAATAATAATGATCTGCAGATGATCATATATAGTTATATGATTCCTTTATGAGAAATAATTATTGGATAACAATGTTAAACTTTTCTTCCCCTATCAAAATATGTAAAAATTATGTAAAAATAATAAAGGAATAAAAAGAAACTATGAATAAAATAAATAAATGTATTTTGTATTGTCTGTATGCCACAGGAGACTAATCTAAGACAAGAAATTTTACTTCATTCGCTTGGTGTTGCCAACATGAGAAATGCTTGAGCTCCATAGACGGAATGATGATGATGAAGTCATTACCCGCGATCCTCTGTGCAAGTGTGTCCTTGGTGATACGATGCTGATATGGAGAGAATACTTTCTGTATTCGGGCTTATATTAACTTGACAAATATCTGCAAGCAATTGTATTAAATTTCGTAATTTTAAAATGTCACGTAGCAAATTCTAAATAAACAAAAGCAAATATAAGTACGAGGCAGGGAGTCTATCAGAGCAACAATCAGCGTGTTATGGGCTTCCTTTGTCTATAGCCGTACGGTTTTTATTTTTTTATTTGTAGTGTTCTGTCTGACGACAGGTCCATATATTATGAACAGGATCCTTCCAACCTCTTCAGGTTGTCAGGGACCTGCTCATACATATATACATTCTTGGCAGAAAAAATGCCTAGACCACGGCCTTGCCCAACACAAGTTATAAATTTGAGCACCACCGGGAATTGAACCCGGGACCCCAGGCTTACAAGGCTAGTGTTCTGACCGCTAGACCACCGTGGCGATTACATTAATAAAAAGAAAACTGTTAAGATATTACAAAGTAAGAGTAGACAGCGGAAGATCAGACAGTCTAGAGATATACTATTGACACAAACAACCAGTGACTGATAAAACGATACTGTTAAAAATATCTGGAAAAAAATCAGATATAATGTTTTTACCCAGCACTTCCAACTCCTATGATTGATTATCAGATAGAACTCGTAATAGAGGGAAAATGATTGTGTGAACACCGGGCAGACCAGTCACTCCATGTTACAATGACCCAGTTGTTCTGTGGCGGTTTCTATACGTCGCATTTCGTAACTTGAGCCATTCTATTACCCAGTTCAGAAGTGTGCAGGACTTATCAGGAGAGATTTCGTGTATTTACGTGCTTGCAGTGTGCAGGGTTTAGATGGCGATCGAAAATGACCACACGGCCATTACATCCGGTTCAGAGGAAATTACATTCTTTCAATTTACTTAAAGTTAAACTTGAATTATTTCGATGTTTTAGCATTCGTGATTAATCAGTGGTTTAAAACCGTTAGGCATGGGCCTATTACATTTATATGGGTCAATATTAAATTCGCTGAACACCTGTTAACAGTAAATTCCTTCACAAGTTCCGAAGATGACACATGCAACCAGGCGGAATCTTTAAATGGCAGAGATTATGTAACGACCAGTAACTTTCTAGGATAATTGACTGTGTGACCCGGTTCTGGCTCCGTTCTGCTTCCGCCCTCCCCTCGAACGAACGAATGATTAAACAAACGAGTTGAACATTGCAGTCGAGGAAATAACAGATTTGGTGCCACCCCCATCTTCGCCCGGAGTGGAAAGGTGAAGACCGCTTGGAGGATTATGAAATTCCAGGCCCCGAGTATGAGCTACCGTACGAAAAAAACCTCACGAATCTTGATGGTACGCAACGAGACAAAGAAGAAAGTAAAAGGAGTTGCAAAGAAAATAAAATAGTCAGAAATGAACACATATGAAGGAGGAAATTAGAATTAATAAATAAAACATAGGTACATGACGAAACATGGAATATATGCATGAATATGGCATATAAAAAGAAACTAACAAACACGGCATGAAAAATGAAAAACACATATTTTTATGTATTAGTTTAATTCGAATGTAGCAGTTCGAACTGAGGTCTGTAATAGTAACGTAAAATATGGCATACGGCCAGCCTAAAATCACACATTCATCCTGGCATTTCTCATACAGGACCTTGTGCATCGCAGAAACGAAGTACTCGATTTTGTATGAGTGACGGAGAGCGCAAAAAGCAAACTGAAGTGACAGTTCAATTTTAAAACTAGGAAAATCACAAAAGAAACGAAAATGACATAAAACCAGAGATTTGAAAATCGAATCTTGATCGGAATTGGAATCGAGCAGCTAATGACGTGATAACCAAACGCCATTTAGTTCGGTGTCCTTACAAATATTAGCCCTTTCCACACTGAATTTAGAAGTAAATTATTTCTTTCGCGTATTTACATGACGACTATTAATTTGCTGTGTTGGAAAGTAACAATGACACAGAAGTGTATAATATAACAGACACACTGAGAAAATAACAGTGTTTCGAACGATATATCGTAATATATTATTATTATCTGTCTAAACACAAAAGTTTCACTTGGTCTTGTATTTAATTCACTTGTGACATGTTTCGAATTAATCTATCTTCAGGTCATCATATCCTCTTTACGTATTCCTCAATTTTCCATCTCTTCTTCACTTTTCTTTCTTTACATTTTGTTTCTTTTCCCCGTTCATCATCTGCTCTCCCTTCTCCTACTTAGACCTTCTCTACCCAGTTAGAAACGGAAGTACAGATGAAACTGAGGAGTGAATCTAGCAGCCAATCAGAAAGTGGATCGTCACTGCCAGAATTTCGAAGTCGTGTACTTGACCTGGTTGTGTCATTATGTAGACTACCGTTTACACTTTCTGTCTAGTAATTTAAAAAAAATTAACTAGTTCCCTTTAAAACTGGTTTTATTACATTTACGCTTTTCAAGTCCTTTCAAATTACAACAGTCGGCCCTTTAATGACAAGTAGTATATTATGTTCAAGTAACACCTCTTTAGACCGCAATGGGAACTGTGTGTACCATCTGCTTCTGAGTCTACACTAATTTCCGAGCAACCAGTGAATGCCTTAGAAAAAAAGAAACTTAGTCATGGTTCTCAATTTAAGTGACCCAGTAATTAAAATCTAAAAGTTAACAAGGACCAAAGTAAGAGGTAATGACGTCGATCTTTACCACCAATTAAAGGAAACAAAGTCACTTCAGAGATAAGGAAAGATTCAAAAACACGACAAGAGATTTAAAAGCTGGGTATAAAGCAAATATGTGTTCGAGGCAAGCCATGTGGGCACATACAAGGTGTAATTTGGTGTAATTTTTCAACTTTCAATATTTCCCCTCGGGTAAACATCTTTACACAAAGGAGACTTAGAAATAAAATAAGTTATTAATCACTAAATTGACTTAACTTAAAATTAAATAAACAAAACCAGGGATAGCTTATGTAAAATTACAGTAAAAGCAGCTTTAAATATATCGATGTTGGTATTTTTGGCTGTAATATCATGTGGATTCATAGGTAGATATCAAGGTTTCGGAGGAATACAGTGCCTCCATTTTCACCGCCGTGAGAACTTCAAATCTCATATTACTTTAAGTAAAACATTAAAGGAATATAAATATAGGAGAAAATTACAAATACATGTGTCATTTAAATTGTAACGGAGGAATTTCATGCAACATGTACACAGAATTAAGGCGAAAAGCTGCTGGAAGTTCGAATAAAATACCGAAAGTTGAATGGCAACGGCGAAAGGTATCGGACGACGAGTCGCTCTGACTCAGCCTTTAATTATCCTTGCACTTTTCCTGAAGCTTAATATTGATATTTAGAGAAAGCTGTCTTGTTCTAACACGTCGTAGCTTGGTTACTCTCTTCCTTGCTGTGTTCTGAGCGCTAACCACACAGAAAATACAGCAAACCGCGATGAAAGTATCCAGCCATTATTCTTGTCACGACATCCTGGAGTTCTGCGTAATTGAATAAAGAAATTACGGACTTGGCTTGGCTATGTTCACTTTAGATAATTATTCCTATTACTTTAAACTAGTTCATAGTGAAACAGACTCGTGCTTGTAGGTTTATATAGTCTATAAATTTGTCATGAACTAAATTGACAAATTCATTATTTTAAAATCTTCAAGGGACTTGATGTTAATGTAATGCACACACAACGCTGTTGTTCAGGAAGCTGAACAAACAGCAGATATATTCCACTGTGTTGTCATAATTCTACTGCTGATAAACAAAATCGATCAACCTTTATTCTACATGCACAGAAATAAATTTCTCCTCATACATCTTGATATGATAACTATGTAATGACATACCAGGAAGAAGTCACAGACCTGTATCATAGGCCAAAATATTTTTCTTCTTGTATTTTCTTTTTACGATGAAATGATAACTTGATGCCGAGAAATCCTTATTAAAACGCTGACAGTCGCTCAGTGAGTGAAAAAATTCCTCGCCTTTTATACGACCAGAAGGTTTATTACCGTGTCCATAAGAGTTTCAGAGGTCCTTGCTTCCTTCATCATAGCCCTGATGACGGAGAAAGCAAGTTTCTCTGAAACGGCGGAAAATTTCTACCAGGCTACACGTCGCTATAATCCAAAGACAGATATTTTCGAACAGATATTTGATCAGACAATCTCAAAACCTACCTCAAACATACAAAATCTGGATTTGACGGCGATTACACATTATTTATATTGAAATGATACATGAGGGAAGTTGTTATGATTGAAAATGTCATCCCCTTTTCGAAATCACTACAGCAAACAAAGAGCCCACGAATTCAGTTGCATAATGCTCACGCTGCCTACGTAACCGCACCCTACTCCCGAAACACACAAACTTTCACAAAGTTGAGACCACTTCTTCCACGTCTGTACTCCTTTCTTGTCTGACGTCACGTAGACGTTACGGACCGACTAGTGAACGATCGACAGCTGGAGCGACAAGTCCGTGTGTGTAGTTCTGTGTGCGTAATTGATTTCACGCGTCTTTCCGAATCTCACGTTACGCTGAGAAAACAATAGCGATATTAGCATTTAACATATACGAAGTTTTGTGCAAATCAGGGGTAATTTCTGAGGCCGTTCATATAAAAATACGTTAAAATAAATTATATTGTTCGTTTATATGTCGCTTATGTTACTTTTTTGAGTGTAAGAAGAATGTTCGTGAATGTTTTTAATTTCCGTTTCTATGTCACTTATGTTACTTTTTTGAGTGTACGAAGAATGTTCGTGAATGTTTTTAATTTTATGTGAGGGGTACAGTGATATATAAGAAGAAAAGTGTTTTATTTTTAATACTCTAAGCCATTCAATTGATACTGACGTTAGGATGGAATTTTAAACGTAAGGTTTTTTGGGAAAATATAAGCATAAATGTATTTCAAATATATTTTAAGTCACAGGACTCTGGCCCGGGACTTGATACTGGTATACATTAAAGATTACTTATTGTAAGGGACAGTCTTTCACGTAAAAAGTGAAACAAAGAGGTAACAGCAGATAAATTGTGATCAAATTATTTGAATCAGTAAACAAATAAATGCGAAAGCGTTCAGAGTTTCCTAAACCTTCGTGAATATGACATGAAAACCCTTTCCCGAAAAAATACAATATAAGAGACTTGAGTTCATAAAATGATTGTGATTTTGATTGTGATATCACTGCTACCAACTGTTCCTTGCACCGATAACGATGCTATTACAGAAGTGTTACCAAACTCCACAATATATAGCGACAAGTATAATATTCCACCCAGCCAAAGTAACAACACTTTACACGCCTACAATCGTCCTAACAGATCAAACACGGAACTTGTGGGACGCAAATATTCAAATAGTTCAGAAGTGGAGTACTTTGGGGTACAGAAAGTTTCCCAAAACGCGACGGAAGAAGACGCGGGGGCTGCTGGGGGTCTGCTCGACGACTTAGTGACGCAGAGCTTCACACCAGATGAGGGTGGGAGCAAGAGTGGTCTGGAATGGTTGCACAACGTGTACAACCCCCATCTGTGGGGAGCCTCGCCTCCAGGTGACCTGCGTACAAAGTGTAGAGCGGATATGAAGCTATATTTGGCCGCCCTCAACAATGGCACGGTCTGGGCTGCCAAGAGTAAGTATCCCGAAACTGTGAGTTTCTTTATTTATCTATCGTATAGAAATTTATAAATCTTTGGAATTATAAAACTGCTGAATATGT